ACTGACATGCTAACTGAAAATGCAACATTAATATGTTGATAATGAAACATTCAAATCTGAGGCACTTATATCTAAAATATCTAACCTAGCATGTGTAATTCATGAACTAAACGAACTACATAGCTAGGGTTCTAAATTTATGAAAGAATCTACACAAAAAAACTATATTAAAATCATGATAATCTGATTAGGAACATTAAAGTAACTAATTCATAATAATCTGCTGAAATTCTAGAAACCCTAGGTGTTGATAATATGAAGGGAATCAAGAATCTGATTGAATTCTAGGGACCTAATGGGTGAAAGGAACCCACTAGTGAAATCCCACATACCTGGTAATGAATTCCACGGAGAAATATATCGATTTTGGGGCTGGAACTGATGGAATCTTGTTGTGTTCTTGAACTAGGGTTCTTGACCTCTTTCTCCTCTTACGCTCTAAGTTTTGATAAAATTTCTGACTTAGGTAAGTTCTAGTTATGTTTCTAGGCTAAAACTACCTAGTTTAGGGGTTAAATGACGTAGTTTATGTGTCCAATGCATAGGGGAAAAGACCAAACGACCCCTGACTTAAAATCTGTTGAAGCCACCTACGGACGGATTGATGGTCTGTGGACTGATCCATGTCCATATTGTTGGTCCATCGATCGACTTCAGAGACTAGGTTCTAAGGGTTCCTGAAGGTCTTAACCTACAAACGGATCGACGGTCCGTCGACTGATCCATGATCCGTCCTGTCCGACCGTCCATCGACTTCAGAGACCAGGTTCTGAGGGGTCTTGACATACAGATGGATCGAAGATCCGTGGACTTACCCACGATCTGTCTGTGTCTGACCGTGATTCATGCCTTAGAATATTTTTTGTCTGAGTTTCTGGGGAGGGTTGCAGGTGGCCATCCACGGACCACCAGAATAGGTCGTGGGTCACCCTACGGTCCGTAGGTGGCACTTGAAACTTTTGGAATTCCGCATTCTGGTCTGTCTAGGATATGGGGCGTTACATATAGAGCCCTTTTCAATCTTAACACTTTATTCTCAGAACCAAATTTCATATAGTCAGGAGGTTGTTCGATAAATACCTTTTTTTATAGTTCACCATGTAGGAAGGCAAACTTCACATCGAACTGGAAGATTTTCCAAGTATGTTGAGCGGCTAAAGAAATCACCAATCTTATGGTATCTAACCGAGCAACGGGAGAACACACCTCTACATAGTAAACACCATATTCTTGCTTATAGCCTTTTGCTACTAAGCGAGCTTGAACTTGTCGAGCTCTCCATTTTCCTTCAACTTTGTTTTGTAAACCCATTTGACACTGATGGTTTTCTGATTTTCTGGAAGATTTGTCAACTCCCAAGTATCATTTTTTTCAATTGATATCATCTCCTCATCCATGACTTGCTGCCACTTTGGATCTTTGATGGTGTCGGTATATGATATAGGATCACAATTTGAAAATAATGAAAAATGACTGGCTGTATTTCCAGATTTACTAATCCCATATACCTCATAATTTTTCATCCAGCTTGGTGCACCTCCGCTGCGTTGAGGATGTTCATTGTTGAACTGAGTATCACCTGATTCATTTTTAACTCCTTCAGCATCTTGTACTGTTGGACTTGCTTGTGAACTAATCCCCAATGGTGGTTCTGGTTCTTTCTCTTCTTCTTCAATAGAAAATGGAATATGTTGAAGCGAACTATTACTGCTCCAATTCGAAGTTTCTTCTTCATCAAATATAACATCTTGGCTAATAACAATTTTCTCGATTGAATAAGCGATAAGGTTTTCATTTGTTTCTAAGACCAAGGAAAATGCATCTCTGACCTTTATCATCCAACTTCTTCCTCACAACATCTAGAATGTGTGCATATGCTATACACCTGAAAATCTGGAAATACTCAACATTTGGTGTATGCCTACTCCAAGCTTCATGAGGCGTCATATTTCGAATAGAGTTTGTTGGACATCTATTAAGCATATGGATGCTCCAACGAACAGCTTCTGCCCAAAAGTCCCTTGGTAAACCACATCTCTTCAAAAGATTACGCGCCATATCAAGTATTGTGCGATTTTCCTTTCACACACACCATTCAGCTAAGGTGTGTAGGTTGTTGTAAGTTGCCACTTAATTCCATGCTTCTCACAAAATTCTACATATTCTTGTGAGTTGTATTCGCCACGTCGATTAGTCCGCAAGCATTTAACTTGAGCAAGCACTTTAAACTTCTTAAAAGTTTCAAGCGCTTCAAATTTTTCTTTACAGAAACAAACCCATGTATTTTTGCTATAATCATCAATGAAGCTAATGAAATAGCGTTTACCTCTATTCGATGTGGGACTTATTGGACCACAGATATCCGAGTGTATCAACTCTAGCACCTTATTTACCCTCCACGACTTGCTTGCTGAAAATGGTTCACGGTGTTGCTTGCTAACAACACAATCTTCACATACTGCATTTGGAGATTCAAGCTTTGGAAGACCCAACACCAATTCCTTTTGCTTTAAAAACTTCAAGCTCGCAAAATTTAAATTAATGCCATGCATCTTCTTCACTTTTGCAGCAAGACAAAATTTTATTGATTTGTGAAGATATAAAGGAAACAATCAATTTGATGACATGCTAATCTGAGCGATTAACCTCGAACGAGGATCTCGTATCTTACAAACTCCACCTTTGATATTAAGTTCATATCCTTTTTCTTGAAGCTGCCCAACACTCAATAAATTTGTCTTCAATGCAAGGACATAAAACACCTCACCTATGGTATGAATCGAGTTGTTTTTGGTTAAGACTTGTACCTTACCTTTACCCTTGGAAGAGACCACCGAATTATTTCCAAATCTCACAGTGTCTTGAAAACTTTCATCCAACTCTGAGAATGCCTCTTTCTGCCCACACATGTGATTAGTGCAACCGGTATCGAGATACCATAAATGAGCAGAAACTTTCCCATTGGAAGTATATGCCATCAAAAGTGAAACTTCCTCTTCCTCTTCCTCTTCCTTGATTTCCCTATCTTCCTTTGTCTCTACAAAGTTAGATCTTCTGCCACGATTCCTATTTAAATTGGTACGACACTCAGGTTGATAGTGTCCAAAATCGGTGACATTGATAGCATTCAACTTGCGACTTATCTCGTCTCTTTTCCTTTCCTAGAGAATCGCTAGAACTACTGTTCACCTTTTTATGGTGCGGATTTTTTCCTTTCCATTTTGCTTTCACTGTTCCTTTCGAAGACAACACTGACTTCAATGCTACTTCATCCTTGTCTTGCAGATTTATTTTCTGCTCATGAACCAACAAGGACCCTGCAACTCATCAATAGAAAGAGTGTCAACATCTTTGGATTCTTCAATTGAGCAAACAATATACTTAAACTTTGTTGTCATTGAGCGAAGTATTTTCTCAACTAACAGAAATCAACAGCAATAAATTGAGAAGAAAAGACTATGCAAGTGCAAAAGTTTTCTCTTTATTAAAGCTTGACAAAATACTCTGTTACAAGAGTCTTAAATAGATGAAAAACAAGAAAGCACGTTTAATCTCCTGGAATATCTGAAGCTAAAAATTGACTCCACTATTCCTAATTCCTAATGACTAGGAAACAACTTATTTGACTCCTAAACAAATGCAACAACTAAACGACTACTCCATAAATCGAACTGCCAACAGTATTTGCTTATCTTGTTTATAGAATATCTAGACTGATTCTCCTCCTTTCTTATGTCTATATTGTTGATATAGTCAGACTCGAAGAGGTGGTGTTTGGGAGGCTGCTGACCTGATACAACACTTCATTTGTAATTTGTAATGTTTGTCACTCTAGTTATCTTTTATGAAATTTGATTCATGTTATTATTTTATTAATCCTATAATTAAATTTTAAATAGAAATTATTTTCTCCAACAAAAACATTCTGATTTTGGTAGATATAAACTTCCACTAATTATTTTTTAAATTTGTTTATTTCTATAATTAAATTTCTAATAAAAGTTCATTTTAGCAACAAAAATATTGTAGGGGAATTAAACTGCCACTACTTATTATTTTTAAAAAAACATTCATATCATATTGTAGCGGTTGTAAATCCCCACATATTCAAGAATTGAAATTATACTGTGGGTGTTCTACAGACCCCAACAATATATTAATTGGGAACATTGTGATTATATTGTGGGGGTTTATAAGCTCCCACAATTCTTTTTGAAACATTGATATCATATTGTGGAGGTTTATAAACTCCCACGGATTTATTTTTTGAAATATTGATATCATTTTGTAGAGCTTTTAAATTGCCGCTCATTATCCCTACCCCCCCCCCCAACAAATTCACAATTCATTTTGTGGCAATCGTCGTGGAGGTTTCATAAAAACGCCACAATTATGATCATGGCAACATTAATTATGGCACTTTCAAAACCCGCCACAATTTTTTTGTTGCGTTCAGAAACTGTCACAAATTGTCAAAAAACCTGCCACAATTTACTAGTTTTTTTTTTGTAGTGATGATCTTGTCCTTTAGGATGAAACATTTTGTGGCGTGATGACGAAAAATGCAGTGAAATTTAAAATACCTAGGATCACCGACTTTGTTGGATTATTTGGGTCGATTTGACTCAGGGAGTAAAATGACTTTGTTGGTGTTCTTTTTAAAAGATGGGTAGCCCAAAAAGATTAAAAGCGTCTCTCAATGGATTGAAATGGCTTTCAATAGCTTTTCAATAATTTTATCAAGCATTAAAGGGCTTTAAATAGCAAACATAAAACATATAATCTGCATAATTTGAAACTAAAAAATCCTAAAATATCTCAACAATTAAAACAACTTAACTAAAATTCAAATTTCAAACTTATCTTAAACTAGACAACTTATTTTGGTAAAAACTACTGCAATAACTAAAAGCAAACTTCAACACTCCTCCTTTGCTTTAGTTACTGCAATTGAAAAAATGCTCCTCCTCAATTTCTGCTTTGGTAGTTGATGCTGCATTCTTTTCTTTCTTTTTGAACTTGCAAAATGTCTTCTTTTTTTTCTTTTGATTTTGTGCCTCAAAAATACCTTCCGTGACATTGTCTTGTATAGAAGTTTATATGAAAGTGCTTTAATATGAACTTTTGTAGGATTTCTAGGGAGAGGTTGTAAGGGTTTTTCTTTCATCACAACATCACATATCACATAGGTTTCAAAATATGATTGTATTCTCACAGACCAAATTTGATTGTTTTCATCTATGAAAATTTTTGGGGCATTCAAAGAGAGACTGATGCTTGCCATTATTTTTGGTTAAAAAATGGTTTAGAAAACCATGTGCATTAAAAAAATATGGATTGAAAAAAGTAGCACTGACGGGTTAAAATGGATAGCCTTACGGGTTAAATGGGTAGCCCTTACAGATTAAAAGAGTAGCCCTTACGGGTTAAAATGTTATAGTAGTTCTTTGGAAGATTTCACAGATCTCGTAAGATCAATGATGCTCTGATACCATTGTTGGTGATTTTTTTTAAAGATGGGCAACACAAAAAGAATGAAAATATCTCTCAATGGATTGAAATGACTTTCAATAGATTTCCAATAATTTTATCAAGCATTAAAGGGCTTTAAATAGCCAACATAAAACACATAATCTGGATAATTTGAAATTCAAAAATCCTAAAATATCTCAACAATTAAAAAAACCTAAATAAAATTCAAATTTTAAATTTATCTTAAACTAGACAAGGATCGTAGATCAAAATTAGAAAAGGGATACACCTTTGCTTATAACTCCTTCAAGGTTTGTTGGTTTTTCAGATCTCGCGTTTGTTGGTTTGAAACATGCTCTTTCAACTTCTGTCTTGTGGATGCCTTTGTATAAGTCATAGTTATCACCATATATGGACTCCTTAGTTTGGTATTTTGGTGACTTGTTGAGTTTCGTAGCTTTTTCAAAGTTTGAGGCTTAATCCGTTGAAGGATATACGCAAGACCCCAATGCATTCCTTGAAAAATATTCAATTGTGGAAGTTTCAAAAAAATAATCCTTACAATCTAAGCTCAACATTCGTCAGTGATTGGTTTTAGTTTACTACGGGTTCATCCTTACTCTGTTTTGTGTTTGTCAACTACATAATTCTGACTTCATGATGGGTGTTGTAAAAACTATTAAGGAATATACTTTGAAGTTTCTCCCAACAGTCAATTGATTGAGGCTCTAAGTTCATGTACCAAACCAAATGCGTTACTTTTCAAGCAATGCCCAAATTGCTTGACAAGAAGATCACCATGTGTATAAGAACTACTACATGTATCGATGAAATGTGCAATGTGTTGCTCTATATTTCCCTTTCCCATCAAATTGTTGCAACTTTAGTGGTTGATATCCAATAGACATCGGTAAGCCCTCGATTCGCTTAGAATACGACTTTGAGTATCCTAAAGAACTTTGTGATGGACCTCTATATTGAGCTCTGATGATGTTTGCAATCATATCTTGTAGTTGTTGAATCATTAGAGTAGCCACTGAAGTAGATTGGTTTTGTCACACCCCAAACTAGAGAAGGCGTGACTGGCACTCGACACCTTATGCAATCGAGTTAGCCACTGAAACATACCAACTGACTCAACTGAGGGCCTAGAAGATCAGGCAGCATAACATCTAGAATACTACAACTGGACCCTTAATGTCATAACCTGAATATCGATAAATCATATAGACGAAGGTAGACAAGCCAAAGATAATAAGGTACTAGCTAGCCGACAAGGCTGCAAATGAAAATATATACACACACATACATATCTATACATTCCAAGCCTATGTGGCTGGAAGCTGCAGAGAGAAACCCAGAATACTGTGTCCACAATAGCCTATATGAGTGACATAAGCACTGGTCAGAACAAGACCCCGATTATACCCAACCTGTACAATAAAAGTAACATCATATGGAAGCTCTAGGAAGAAGTGGAGCTTACCAACTCACAACTGAACCCCAAATCCTAGCAGAGGGGTCAATTAGAATCCCTACCTAGACCTGCACGCACTAAACAAAAATGCGTCCCCAGGCAACGGAACGTCAGTACGAATAAAAATGTACTGGTATGTAAGGTAGAAAATAGAATAATAAATAGTTGCTATAAAAGGGTAATAAAGATACCACCTAAACCAAAAACTCTGATAGCCTTCATGGCTGACATCCTACCTTATATAATTTAAATATGCATAGTATGCTCGCATAATCATATGTCGTGAATACATATATATAGATGCAAATGTATGTCATACCCAACCAAGTGCTAGCAATGGTGGTGCCTTCCGGTAGCGAACCGGGATCATATTCGCCAACTTGTGGCCATCTGTGTCTCATACGTATAAATATAGGCAATAGGCCCCATACCTTCCGATTATAGCTCGGAAGTAGAATGCATAGCATGTAATGTCATGGATCTGTAATCCATTTGTTACCTGAATCATGTTGCCAATCTTGGCTCATTGGTACTCTTGTCCTCATAATCTTGTAATCACTTTCGTATCACATGTAAATATCTCGTGAAACTTATATACTTGTAGATTAAACTGGAACACTTAACTTGGATTTAGAAAGGCAACCTAAACTTGAGGATGTTCATAAAGAGCTTAAAGTTCTTCACTTAGTATCTATATATGTTTCCTTAGTGGTTTTAAAAGAAAGTATTTTAGAAAAACCCATACTTTAGTAGTTTAAACCTACGATTTATATTTAAGAGTTTTGGAGATCGACGTTTTATTTTCAAGATTTTAAAAATATAAATTAGCAAGGAAGGAGGATTGATTTCAAATTCATATTGTTCATCTCTAATCTTTTTAAGTTACTACACCTAAAGAAGAATAAGAATATGTACACATGGTCCTATAGTCAAGAGAATCAACAAAATGACATAAAGACGCCAAATACCCTATCTAACCGAACAAGTGGAATAGCAACATAATGGAGTCACAAAAATACACCAGTTGCAATATCAATGCCTTTCACCAAAGGTCTTTCTAGTAATAGAGTAGTAAAATAATATTTGACGATTTAGGATTCCAAAATTTGTGCTTAAAGAAAGTACAGTGCTTAGCCTTAACATACCTCGATTTTGGGTCTTGTTGTATCAATATGGATTGTACCCCTTCCTTACAGTATGTAGTCTACAGAAAATCATGTCACACAGCCATTACAGGCAGAATATTAACACGTTAGGGTCAAAGTAGCAATTTAGAGCTCATTAGCAGAGTAATTAGCTCGCCAGACCATTTTTAAATGTATGTTTCATTACCTTCTCTTCTCCAAATTACAACTTTAAATTAATGAC